AAATTAAACGACCGCCTCGTTGGCTCATGTGACTTGTGTCGCGCGCGGCTAACGCATACGATATTGTGCATGTGCCCGATAAGGTCACTCTGTGACATACATGAACTCTTTGACTAACAATGAGGCGGTCGGCGTCCGTTCCATTCATTATTCATTGGATCAAAACTAAGATTAACTTTCTGAGAGAAGTCAATACATTCAAATTGCTACATTCTATGACTTTTGGAAATCCATTGAATAAAACCGATTTCTCGCGTCTGGAAGCTACACTAGATTGCGTTCAGAAATTTCTAGCTCGTGCAACATAAAGAAACCGCAAAAGGAGTAAGTGCCGCTAGTCGCCCTTAACCACGCTAAGTGGTCACATCTATCAAGCGCTATAATACCTATGTTGTACAGCTTTCCGTCTCACCGAGTTGTGTTTCGGTCCTTTTATACTTTGGTTTCAAGGTCTTTTTTTCTTTAAACTTTACTCTTTTTGCCGTCTCCATGGATCATCATTGTAATGATTTCACTACATCTGCGTAGAAGACCAATTGGCCTCGGTTGTGCACGCTTCGCCGGTGTTGCGTCACGCGTGTTGCCCATTTACTATTGATAACGAGAACCTGTTATTATTGCCGAGTTTATTTGAAGTAAGTTGAAGTTCCTACTGTGGTGAACCTAAAATGCCCTCGATTTATTTTGAACTACTACTTTATTGGATATACAATATTAGTTCAGGCGACGAGATGACGCTTTTAAACATTTATGCTTTTAAAAAATTATCAAGGTAATTGTTAGCTTCACAATGATATTAATATTTATTTTCATACTACATTATGCTTGTATGTATATATGTAGGTATGTTTATATATGAAAACATGTTTTTCTCGCCATGTAAGACACCATCTACTGCCCATCTACTTAACTAATAGTCAAGTCTAACCTGCGGTTGCCTGGAAGAAATGCTTTTTAGCGATTATACCTCTAAATTGTTTCGATTATCCATTTATTTAATAAGGGTACAATAAAGTCTTCATTCATTCATACAGTGGTTCAACTCGTATGCAAATAAAAGGATTTTAATTTTATCTGAACATACTAAAGCTACTACCGAAACCCCATATAGTTCTGTATGGCGAATGTTATTCTTACACTACAATTTTTATGAGTATTGTAATACTAATAATCATATGTATGATGATGTACAACTATTGTAATTTGGGAAAGTGTCATGGACTGTTTAATAAAACTTTAAAAATTAACACTGGAAATGAAAATGTATCCGAGACTAATGACATAGAACCACGTTATATTGATGTACCAAAAACTAATTGCTCTTATGCCTAAACTTCACTCTTAATTAGGGTGAAGTTTCGTTTCAACCCCAGGGTTGTTATATATATTTTATGAATGTAAAGATGACGATTGTGACAATAAGCAATCTTCTATTGCATTGGCATTTTTCAACTTATGTATTCGTTCGAGCAGTTCTCCCGCAGCCACGATCCGAGACACTCGCCCACATTTAAAATTCATTTTCGTGGATTAAATAAAATCATTTTTTTTTTAAAGCGACAATTCGTTTTCCTTATAATTATAACAGATCGCGCTAGACACTGAGCTTATATAATTCATTACTAGAATTATCAAACACTTCTATATAGTATTATGATTATATCTGAAACATCGAAAGAATTGAGTTCAGCTTAATCTGGTGGGTTAAAGTCGTACCTAATTAAACGTCCAGGCTTGACGGACTAATATAAGTGTTGAAGCAGCGTGTAATCGATCACCCGAATCAGTCCGTCCCATTGGTCCTCGGATCCTCCTTCCGTCGTGCGTGACGCGGCATGTTTCCCTGTGACGCCAGAACAATGCGCCTGGTCGTGCCAATTGACTGAATGACGTACGCGGTACGCCCGAATCTCTAGGCCAGTTAAAATCTGTCTTTGTTCCTATATCTAGGAAAACTTTTAAAGAACCTTTTAGCTCTCAAAATTATAAATATTAGAAGGATGGGTATAAAATAAAATGATAATGAAAAATTCATTAGATCGCCTTCCAAATTGTTCAAGAGTATCTCTGCAGTATACTCATTATCCTTGAGTATATCGTCTGTATCATCGATGAAATCACACGTAAATCGAGATTGGTTTTCTTAAAAGTACCTACTCACTCGATATGTTTCCTCAATGATGATGTATATCGCTTAGACAACAATGGAAAACCCGTTACAATGGAATAATATAACTCGAGGAAAATCTACCGTGACTGTTTTCAGCATCAGATTCGTTCTGTTGTAGAACAAATCGAATGTTACTCGCGATTAAGATTAATTCTCCTCAATGTATTAGGTAAGCGGCGGTGGTTTCTGATTACGTCAGGTACAATTCGTAAGGCACGACTGAAATGATCTCATAAAAGTTTACTGATTATTCTCCGCAGTAGGTATATTCGTCAAAGAGGAGGACCACAATGTAACAGTATGAATTTTATTTGTATACGCTTTCCAAGTGTTCAATATATTCCTAATGTTGACTTGGATAATTGTTTTCCGATGATTGTGTATGAATGAGGTTGCGTTATTAGAGGCTCCACCCACGTTATGTTATCAGTGTAACAGCTATCAGTGCCAGATGCGTACGCCGTGCGGTGTAGTTATGTAGAGGGGAGGGCGCCGGCGCCGTACCATAGATAACGCAAAATGTCCCTGTAAAAGACACATTTGCCTCGCTAATAAGTACGCACGCTGTGCTTTACGTGAATAAAAGTGGGTTTTTTTTAGAATAACGAGTACCTATAGATGAAACTCATTACCGTACCGTAACATTCCAAACAAAGTTTTATTATGTCTGTTACTAACAGCCTATAAACCGTGAAAGAGGCCCCACGGGAGCACCATAGCTGTCCCGTAGAGCGTCAAGGTGATTCGCGTGTGTTGGCCGGTTGCCAGTCAACCAGGCCACGTGGCTCGCCCTGGTTCTGCAGACTATGTTATAGTTCCATTCCTCCTTCAGACATGGGTGTCGGTATGCGTAAACAGAATTGTTAGCATCATATTAATCGATGATAGCATTCTTGTAGTGCACGTGATGTGTTTACGAAATTTTGGCTCAGTTTACATGTAAAAGGAGCCCGAGATAAACACTACCAGTTTGTATCGCGATTGAACTAAGGCGAAGCAACCTTTTCCTCTTAAATTAACACCTACGAACGAGATCTAATTTCGTATAATACTATTAAAGGTAACTCAATTGACCCCAAGTCTCGAAAGAGTTACTCTTAAAATAGCATTCGCTGATTTAACCTTTGAACCGGTGCAAATTGACACTGATTGATCTCGACATTTCATTAAGTAAATCACATTTATGGCTTAGTCGAAATGTACCACGTAACGGTCTGGTTAGCCAGAATGTAAACAGAGTTAAACTAAGATAATCGTTATGTGTTAAGTGAAACGATAGAAGTAGGCTACATATTTCATAATAATACCTAATAAGTATTGGGCCGGAGACTGACATAATGGTATAAGTATTATCGACGCAAAAGAGTTGCTCACATACGACTGTTGGACTCTGTCGGACACGCGAAGGCCGATCTCTACAGCACGATATGCACAAATAATTGGCGTCAATGTTATTGCAGATTTACTCCTTCAAATGATTTTCACACAGCCGCGATCGTTAGTCGTTTCCTGTGTTAATATTTATGAAGTACTCGTTAGATTTCAGAGCTGAATTTCAACTGGAAATCGCTTAAACAAATATAAATAAGACAAATCATCAAAGCAACAAATACTAAGTAGCGGAAGCTCACGTTTTATGAAAATCTATAACAACATAGAAAACATAAACACGCAAATTCAAGAAAAATATCGAAATGTTTTTTCGGGAATCGAAGTCATAAAAATGACATTTAAAAATACACAAGATTAAGGTTGACCCTAGATTTGGAAAACTAGTTAGTTTATATTATATACATCCTACACTCGAGACTGGATAGTCTCGTTAACCATTTTGGATACTAAATATTATATAAGGTACCTAATTTCTTGTATTCATGTTTTACTTTTATTCCGATCATTTGCCGAATAATTGTCAACATTTTCATGGATCACAACACAAATTGTGTATGCTTTAGTCGGTTTTTATTTCATAACATTAGATCGAATATTTTATTTTTTCTTGTAGTAGTATAGGTAAATAATAGGATTTTCTTGTTGTTGCAGAATATGTAAGATAGTACGGAACCCCGATGAGGTGGTTCACGACAGCCTGCTATGTGGCTACACACGCTCTACTACTCTCATCTCAAGGTTTGTATTATAACACGATCACTAGGAATTAAATAATCTTCTAGAGACTTCATTCAAAGTTCGGCGAGTTTTTTTTGGTATAGTTTTGTTTTGATTCTTGATTCAATAAATAAAAAGTTATTTTAGGATCTTTTTGAGTATGTAATAAAGCATTTTGATATTCATCAGTTTTGTGTTATATCCGCGTGACACGCTGCATGCGATAGGTTTCGTATACCTGTGGATAATCCTCGCACATTTGTATTTGTTGCCTTCATTACACTTTGGGGACTTCGTCTACATTACAGGAATCTTCGTTCGAGTTATAAGTTTATTGTTCTATAAATTCGTGTTCATAAATATGGTTCTCTAATGAATATTATTTCGGATGATCTAAAAACTTTCTACTGCAAAACTCGTGATAATGCTGTTTGCAAAGGCATGTTTTAATTATGATCTCAGCTATGAGTTAGTAATATAATTTTATTTAATTTTCAGACTAACGTGTCTGGCCGCTATGCGACTTACCAATCGCTGCCGAAGCACGGACGACGCAACGTAGACGCTGATATAACGACACGACCACTCGACCGCTTATTTAAAACCCCCAGTGAGTTAATTTACACGTTGCTCTAACACATGTGAAGTGTAGTGAGGTGTCAGTGAAGTGTAGTTCCTCGGCCGGCCGCTCCGGGCCCCGGAGTCCGATGTTGGCGGCGTCATGGCGTTCATGACCAAGAAGAAACGCTACAAGTTTGGGGTGCAGTGCTGCCTCGAGGAGCTCACGGAAGTGCCATTCGTCTCCGGTCTGCTTTTCGCGAAGGTGCGTCTGCTCCACGGTGGCAATTTCCAGGAACACTCTAGCAGGTTAGTTTTAAAAGTGTCATAACCCCAATACCTTTGGGATAAGAGAATTTAATATTTTAAGATCTTAATTAATGTTGACGCACAATTAAATTCCCTATCGCAGATATTCTATTGCCTTAATTATTTACTACTGGTATGGTGACATGAAAAAGGTGTTATTCTTACTCGTGCTATTTTCTATTTGACCTCTAGCACAAAGCTGTAACTACAACCTTATTATATTTATGAATAGACTTATATCTGATGGCCGGAGTTAGGTTATTAATTCTTTATTTCCATCATTTTACACATGTTCAATGATTAGTAACTCAGGCGGGCAACATAACAGTACGGCTGAACAGTGGATATTTATTAAATGAGCAAAGTAAAGATTTTCAGTTTATCTGAAAACGTTCGTAGAAGAGGAAAAAAAATATTTAAAGAGAATTAAAAAAGCTTATTATAAGGTATCCGATTATATAACAGATAAGAACGCTTGGACTTGAGATGATCCAGCAACTGGATAGGTGATTACTTCTAAACTCATTATCTTGTTAGTATTATTATTATTAAATGATTATGTTATTATTATAAGACCATAGTTTTTTTTTTATCTCTGTTTATAATGTATTGATCTAGTAATGACATGGTTTTTGTAAATGTCATTACTCTTATTAGAGCTGGTGAGTTTCTTGCTCGTTCTTCTTATCAGCAAAAAGACGTCCTGAACGAGTGGTAGGGAAAAAATGTTGGACGATTCAAAAGTACTTTTAAGAAGTCTATTTGAATAAATATTATTTTGACTTTGACTTTGAATTATAATACTATAATAGAAAAAAATATATATGTCGGCGGGTAGTCCGAAGGGGCTATTACGAAGCCCAAATAGATATACGAGGTCCATATCGGAGGACTATCTTTAAAATAACACTGCAGGCGTGTATTCCAACGTGGATTTATCCTATTTTATCACTTTTCATACGAAAATATAACGAGATGAGCGCGATGTCGTCGAATGTCTTTACTCCTGGGCGATCGGAAACAAAATGTGTGCGAAAATGGCGGCAATTTGGTTTTTGTTAACGAACTGTCAAAGTCAGTGTCACCATTTTAATAAAATTAAAAGTATCGATGATCACGCTCCCTCTACAATCGAGTAATTAAGTAATCGAGTAACTAGCAATTAAAATAAAAGAAACTAAATCAAACGATCTTCGTAAAGATGATGCGACATATATAAAAAAGAGTAATTAAACAGAAAGATAATATAAATTGATATAATCTATTAAGTAACATTATTCCAAGTCGAAAATAATTTTGAATAACTTTAATAACCGTCCGTATCACCAGCATCACCAAAGCGACATATTGCTGAAAACTTGATTTTGTAACAATAGCCTGATACAATTACCAACTTTCAGTATGGAGATCAAACATTAAAACATAACAGCTGTTTTTTTTTATTATGAGGGTATCATATATTTCGTTTTTAATATATGAATTAATCAAACGATATTTTCTTTCGGATTATTAGTAAAAAAAATAAAATTCCTTTAATTTCTCAATGGCATGATAAGCAAAATACATATAAAGTGACTTCTACGTATTTTCACACTGTTACTTATGTTACTTCCATAAAATACATAAATCTTCCTAATATTATATTTGGAAACTCATATTTTTATATAACACGGACAATAAATATTTAAAAAATATTTGTAAAAAAATCAATAATATTAACAATGAAATACGACTTCAATCGATATTACTATATTGCGTTAAGTATATTTTGTTTTGAATCCAATGAAAATTTCCATGAGGAATATTGCATACCAATATTCCCGTGGAATATTGGTATATAACACGCAATATATGCAGCAGACTTTTGAGTGAAACACATATTCTACTAAATATCATTAAAATCCACTCATAAATATTTAAATAAAAGTTTTATTATATTAAAATACAACAAAAAAAAAATTAAGATAAAAAATAAAGTTTAATAAAAATCACTATTTCCTGTAATTTTTTTAGTTGGATTTCAGTAATTTTCATTGTCGCTATGATAAATAAAACCAAAATTTGTGAAAAAATCGTGTTAGTAATTTTGCGTGAATAAATGAAGGTTTTTTGACCTGATGTTTTTTTATACCTTCCGTAGCTAAAATGAGATGGATTCTTAAATATAGTATCTTGTAATTGGCTCACAAACTCGATTAAAAATATTCCAGGCTTATATCGAATTATTTCCGTTTTTCTCGTATTTGTATCAGGCTACAAATCAAATTTCAATGGTATTATAAAAGTTTATTTTTAGATTAATTAAAAATTACATTTTTTATATTTTCTGCATTACTCATTAATGCAGACTACGGAGGTAAATTAACATAAGATAAATAATAAACAATGCTTCGTCTGTCGACTGCGGCGTAGGTATATTTATGTAGACGATGTAATTAATCATACCGAAGACATTAGCCAATCTAATGAACTCTCACAGCCGCTGAGAAACCGCACTGTTGGTGTTTCAGCCATAGACTGGATCGCTCTCAGACCCCTTAACGAATTACCTATAAAAACTCCATCGTATAGCGGCAGAGTGATTAACTCTTTTGCTAAACGAGTTTTTGTTTATTTATTAAAAAGGTTTTGTTTATTTTCGCTGTAATGAGTAAAATCCCCCGTGAAATTAAAACTGTCGCTGTATTATACTACTACCCATATTTTTTCCGTAATTTGCCACTCTTTGAATTTTGATTGCTTTGCATTTCTTGACTTTATTTACTGCGGCGGTTTAATGTTTTAAAATTAACAGTAATTTAATATCTTATTTAAATAAATAAATATTTTGGAATTAGAAATTACTACTTTCCTATTATTCGTGCTCACGTTATGTACTATATGAAATATTTACTAAAAGTATAACAATTGTGGGTGCGATATCCTTCACTCCCATTGATAAATAAATTAAACAGCAAAGTGTGATGGCCATCATGGGAAGTTCACGATCTAAGACATTAATCAAAACCTGCCAGCTCTTTATGTGATTATCGAACCCTCCGCTTCACGCTTCTGTACACATAATATTTTAACTAGTCAAGGAAATCGTTCACCTCAATTGTCTTACAAGAAAATCACTGGAAATTCAGCCTTTTGTGGCAAGTTCATTAATTCTATTTTGGTCGAATGAAAAATGACTACTCATTTTAAGCTGAATACGATGAGTGAATTTTCAATTTATATTGTCAACATCGACAGTAGATGAGTGATTCGAGACGACTGTTTCGAATATTATGACGACAGGTTTTATGTTTGCTTCGTTTTGTTTGAATGTAGAAGAACATCTTTTTGCCCGTGTCGATTGACGCAAAGCAAGCTGCCGTTGCCGTTGTTAGCTCCAACTGTAGTGCAGTTAAGATAGATCATTGGTCGTCGCGTCGTTGAATGGGTGCAACAAAAAATAGGTGTGCGGTGGGAAGTCGCCAGTTAGCGAGGGGGAACATGGAATGCGGAGGCGTCCGGCGATCAGGCGGCTCCGGCCCGTCTCGCCCGGTCGTATGCCGCTCAGACCAGTCAACGTGACTGATGATTTACCTTTAGGCTCACATATCATTCACAATGGCATTTTTCCAGTTTGAGTGTATCTCGCGTGACATTAAAGAGGGTTTAGTGTTACTAATGTTATATTTTCAAGCTTACCTTCATACACACACGTCACGCTGTGATCCTATCACGGTCTGTCTGTGATGTCAATAACATCTTCAAATGTAAAGTGACATGTGAGTGTTGCTATTATCACCAAAGTGTGGAATTTGTCGGTTGCATGTCGGACAAAAAACACTTTATATCCCTTTATGAGCAACAATACTAAAACACAGCCACTAATTACACACATAACTCTAATGAAGTGGCACGCAAATGAGTGACTATCATATTAATGAGATTTATCGAATTGTATTTATATAACTTACTCGGTAGAGTCCAAAACTTGTCACAAGTTTTTAATTATAAGGAAAAGACAGTCCTGTGAATTGGCCGACAAATTTTCCAAACTTTTATCACATGTGCTGTAAACGGTCGTCTAACTTTCCTGTTGTGTCGAAGATACTTCAGAGGTATATATTATTTGTTTGTGAAAGTTATCGCTAGAAAATACTCATTATTTTCAAATTATGAACTGTTTTACAATCGTTTTATACTTGATAATGATCTGATTATTTCATTCATGTCGATTTATAAATTTTATAATTAGTGGCTGTCGACACGAGTAGCGATTATCAGAAATGCTTTTTTTAATGTAAGTGTCGCGACGCAGCCACATAGATTGCTAGTGGTTGGCATCTGCTGCGTCGCAGTGCACCAGGTATCAAGGTCCATCACATGGCTCCACGCCAACACCATGCCGTTCAGCAGCATCGTTTACGGAAATTAGACAGTTTTTCCTGTGTAAAGTAATACACAATACCAATTCTTTTATGTTTTTCCACGTTTTCAAGGTCTGCCGGCTGAGGTAACCGATCCGGAAAGTTGTAAGTTGTTGTGATGTTTTATTAAATATTCTCTTGAATATTGATTGCATTTGATTATTTTATACCAATATGTACACCACACTAATAACTGCATATATGTTAGCGTTCTTTCCGGAAAAAGAAAAGCAAAAAAATATAAACTTGAAAAAAGATTTATTTTTAAAAATTACATGCAAGGAAGTATATGACACAATTTTAAAGATAAAGTGCTGGGAGTAATGGTAAAGGTTTATATGATTTACAACTACTAGATGCTGTGATATCTGTCGGTAATCAGACATCTACTTTCAATGGTTCACTTTGTATTATCGGAGTGAAGGCATCTATATAAAAGCTTTATCTTAATTAGTATGGCGGTGCACTCGGTGAGTGCACCTGTTGACAACATACATTTGTGTGACAGTGGTGAACGACTCGACAGGTATCTCCTACTTTCACCGCTCTAAGATTCCACGGGCTCTTTTGAAAACATCTCTATCCTAACGAATAGCT